ACTCTTCTTTCCCAGAGTTCAGGTTGCCATACAAAGCCGTCGCTGACATTTGAACTGTAAACAACCTGTAGCTGTAAGTTAGGCTGATGGATAATAACCAATATAAAAGGTACAGCTACACTAGCATCAGGGAGCAAGCTTGTGTAGGCCCCTTGGGCACAGTCAAACTTTATTAGAATGATCTAATCAAGCCTGACCATTCACAGGGAAATGTCTCCTGCCAGTATTATGAAGAGGCTTAATAAGTGAGCCAGTTCAAGATACGTATTGGCAAATCAGTCACTTCTTCTCCATGACAGAGGGCAGGGAAAGTAAAAAAAAAAAAAAAAAAAAAAAAAAATTCTGGATATCTATTTGCAGCTCATGAGATTTTTGAAGATTAATTATTTGAAAACACATTTATTTTCCTTGTCCACTCTATTGTCCTCCCCTGGAATGAGGGAAATGTCTCCTGCCAGTATTGTGAAGAGGCTTAATAAGTGAGCCAGTTCAAGATATTGGCAAATCAGTCACTTCTTCTCTGCATGGCAGAGGGCAGGGGAAGTAAAAAAAAATTGACTGTATGTAGACTATTGCTTATGTGCATACACACACATATACATATATACATATATACATTTTCTTTGCCTTCTCATAATATACTATACTGCCATATTCTCAATCTATTTTGGGGAAGCAGGTGAACTTTAGAGCTAGGAAAAAGAAACCAGCTACATACTATTGTTTTATGCTATTCAGGGCATCTGTTTCTGAGACCTATTACTTCTGCACCCAACAGGTCTCAGAAACCCAAAGCCAGTTGTGGGGCGGCGGAGGGGGGGACTTTTCCATGCTTTACTCCTATTTCTCTCCTATTTCAAAAGGCATTCCTACTTTGAAATTATGTTCTCTTGCTTGTTACAGAACCTCACAACCCCTTAGATACAATCATTGTGTCTTCTTTGGTTGAAGGCATCAGTACAGCATCCATATATCGGGGAGGTATTGGTTTACTCTTTAACTCAAAGACGTGACAACTAACCACACAGAGAGACACAGAGCTCATCATCATTTGATCCCCAACCTGTTTCCTTGCAGAAGCCCCACAGAAGAAACCCTGTGTTCAATAATTTGCCGGAGCTGATTAAGAAGGACACCATGAGGCACACAAAGTGTTCCACACACCCCAAAGCAGTTCATGAAATTCACTCAGAACAGCATAATCCAGACTACAGCTTCCTCAAATTCCTCTCTTTCTATTCCATGTTACAAAGGTTAATACAAACAACCCCAGAGAGACTAGGATGCAAGTGAAGCCTCCAACTATCAATGAAAACTTTGGCAGAACTTGAGAAAGTTACTGATTTCAACAGTAGCTCCCAGAATCTCCCAGCTAGCTTGGAAAGTTCTGGGATCTCTGGCCCAAACACTACCTCCACCCCAACCCCAAGCTCATCTAAAGCTATCAAAGACAGACCCCTCTTGTTAGCATAGTTGCTTGGAAAGTTCTGTGATCTTTGGCCCAAACACTATCTCCACCCCAACCCCAAACTCGTCTAAAGCTATCAAAGACAGACCCCTCTTGCCCGGAAATGTACAAAATCCAAAGACAGGGCATTGGGGAAGTCAAGGACCAAAAACCATTATGAGATGGAGAGAGGTGAGTTCAAACGAGATGTTACCAACAACTATCACCAGCCTCCAAGGCCTATAATTCCACTGATCCATGTAATTAAAAAAGAGAGAGAGAGAGAGAGAGAGACAGTGGCTTCCTTAGTATCTCTGCCCAAGTGACCTTGCTGATCACACTGAGAGCCCTTACCGGGTTTGGCGGGTTCAGGCATGGCGAAAACCCCTTGGGTAAGCTACGCCGTCCCTGTCTGTGTTTCAGTTCTCCCCGGAGAAATGCTCTTGGCTGAGTCCCTTTAAAGACCCAGCAAAGGGGACACTGAGAAGGTGTCACCTGACCCCCAAGGCCCGATGCCAAATTCCAGAGCTGTGGCATAAATGTCTTCAAATCCCCTTACTTGAAAAAGAACTCGGCTGGGGAGGGAGAGGGGGAGGGAAGTGCAGCCACGAGCCAGTTAATTTGGGAAAACACAGGGTGGTCAAGGAAACAGTCCTTTTATTAAAAGTCGGGAAATCACAGAAGTCTAACAGAATGTTTGTTCATTAAGAGAGATCCACAGATCCACAGTCCATTCACAGATCCAGATGGCTAAACAGCACAGTGAGATGGAGCAACTAGTTGCAAATCCAGTAACTGGGAGTTGGCTTCCCTAGTGTGACTTGCAGGAGAAGGGCGGTGGTGGTTATGCTGTACCTTCAAGTCAATTGCAGTAACTCTTTCCAGAGTTCTCTTGGTAAAGAGTATTCATAAATGGTTTGCCATTCCCTTCTTCTGGCGACATCTTGGGACTGTGTCGTTTGCCCAAAGCAACACATCTCTTCTGGAATGCACGGTGGGGAATGGTACCTCACCTCTCCTCAGTCACTAAGTTATCCAGCCAATTACACCCCCAGTAAAAGGGACTGGTAAACTGTTTCTGGTTAGTTTGTTCCTGTAAAACTCTCTGTAAGGGCTGCCATTAGTCAGAATCAGTTTGACGGCACATAATTTTAAGCTGTGAACAGTGCACTGAGCTGGAGCACCCGAGGTCAGGAGTTTGATTCACCTGTGTGCTTTGCAGAAAAGTCAGATTGTGTGTTGTCGGGCACAACTACAGAGTCTGTGAGTGCCCTCAGAAGAAGGGGCAGGTAGACCACTTGACAGTATGCAATTCATAGGATGAAACTATGCGATTGTTTGATCGGTTGGTTGCTGAATTTCAAAGATTTATGTGCTGCTCTCAGAATGTTTAGCCATGCAATTTATGTCAGTGAATTTGTATTTGAGAATGTATTGGTTAACACTTTGGACCTGGAATTACATTGAATCCCCATACTGATTAGGAATTGTAGAACTCGTAGTCCAACAGATTGCATGCGCATCAGGTGGGGGCAGTCTGTCCTTGTCCCTGCAGTGGATTCCATCCTCAGCACCATGGATTTCAGGCCTTCCCTTCCTGTTATAACAACTTTAGGGGTTTAGTTTCCTGTTCCATTTTTCAACGTAAAAGGTCTTTGATGGTTAACGTAGATGATGGCAGTGGCTCCCAATGGTGGCACCCATGTTTTGCACATGGGAGCAGTGGAGTAACAATTTTGAAGTGCGACTACTAATTAGGACAGTCTTCCGAACCATATTCCCAAGGAGAGTCCAAAAAGTGCAGGCAGTTCTCTTGCTTCCTGTCAACGGCTCCATATCTGTCCATTTTCATCTCTGTGAAGAGAAGAATTTTTGCAAAGTCAATAGGTCTAAAATGCCCATTCAGGACCAAACACTCAAAAACACTTTGCATTACAAAAAGAATCGCACACAACAATATATTATAGCTGGGAAGATCCACTCCCTGACATAACCATTGTGAGGACCACAGCTAAATTTAGAGGGAACGGGAAAAAGTGAAGGGGGGGTGACAGATGACATCACAATTCCAGCTAATCAAAGGGTCACAGAGGTTCAACTCTGCAAGACCTGGCTCCACTATACCTCTTTGCAAGATGTTGTGTGTTCATTCCCCACCATCTGCAGAATAGGTGGCCTGAGAAGTAGGGCCTATCCCAGAATTTGGGAAGTGAAGCATCCTCTTTTCCCCCACTTCAAACCGTGGGCTGTCCTTGATCTCCAGTGAACTACAACCTCAGCTATCTGATATGGCAAAGCTCCTTGCTAGATATCTTAGACAGCAGCTGCTAGACAGCGCAGACAATATGCAGCAAGATGGAATAACACTTGGCTTTATATATTACAGGGTGATTACTGATCTTCCTGGCTGGTAAGAAGAACAATAAGGGAGAAGGAAATGGGACTTTTTCTGTTTTTGGAATGTGGATGAGTACTATGTAGCAAGTGAGTCAAATCCAGTCCCCTGAATCACTTTTAGAATCAGTGCTATTATATTTTAATCATAGTTGTATAAACCAAACAGCTTCACTCATAAGGAGAATAATATTCTAGTTAGCTAGCTATCTGAAGTGGTAAAATTGAAATATGCCAGACTGGAATTTAGAGGCAGTTATTCTGGGCACCTGTGTTTCAAGAGTCCGCTTCTCCCTTCATTTCATCTTCTATGCCTCTGTCACCATTTTCTTACACCCATCTCTTTCGCCAGCATTCAAATTCCTTCTTCTTTTTCTTTAATGTTTAGCAAGTGAATCAGTGCTGAATGGGTAGAATGCAACAAGCATTTGAATCAGTACTGTATCAGTTTAGTGCTATAGCTATAGCGCTATTGCATTAAACTGGGAGAAAGAAAAATACATTTTAAAAATGCTGTTTAGAAACTATAACTGTAGTCCTTTCCAGTGCAAACAGAAGACTGGCAAAAGGAGGAGGCTCAGCCCCACATCATACCCCACTCTGCCCATCTAGAAAATCCCAACAACAGCCTCAAAGGACCAGTATACATGTTCACACAAGCCAAAGGCAAGATAAAATAATTTGAGAAGCCTTGTCAGTCAAATAAAACACACAACATACTCATTGCTAAAAGGTCAGATTGATTTGTGATTAGACTAATATTATATTCAGAATGGATCAGAAGAGACAGTGAGGAAGACGGCACAAAAAGCGGGACAAATATCTGTCTAGTTACTCCCTCAATAAAGGTAACCTCAGATTGATGCGTAATGTAAAGCAGGAGTGTACCAACTTCAAACTTGTGGGATTTACCTTGCTTTTTCACTATGACTTTGAAGTCCATGAGAATAACTACTCGAGAATTCAGACCTGGAATCGCAGAAGAAGGTGTTTTGGAGTCAAAGCTGCACCTCAGAACTAGTTTTGAGTACATAAATAAGAGCCCAGACTAAAATCCCTTAATATCCAGGTAACCTGAGTGAACTGATTCCTGTATAAATTAAACTGATTCAAATAAATTAGGCCAGAGTAAATCATGCATCTAAACCAAGGCACCAAAACATTGTTTGTTTAAAATATTTTTATCCCACCTTTCTGCTTATGAAGAATCCAAAGTGGCACGTTATAAGTACATCATTAATAATGTAAGTAAAGAAAATTAAAAATACTGTATATAAAACAAAATTTAATGTATATGTCTAAATAACACTAGCAAATAGACAACAATAGACTCCCGAGCAAACTACACCAGAGCACAGAGTGCTGTCCTCTGAAGATGCCAGCCACAGAGACTGGCGAAACGTTAGGAAGAACAACCTTCAGAACATGGCCAAAGAGCCCGAAAAACCCACAACAACCAAATCGACAACAATTAATTGAACTGAATCAAAGAACAAAAGGGCTTGGAAGAATTTCTACTTCAAAAACGTCTCCAGCCCTGCTGAAAGTTTTTCTCCCTTCTTTCTTCCTGCTCAGCTTCTCACAATGATTATTACCAGCTTTTTAAAACACTCTTCCCCAAGCTTTCATGCTTATGTGCAGTGTCAGGTTACGCACACAAGTCTCCTGCTGTTTTATTCCAAGCTGTCTAGATTTTCAACAGTGTGATTTAGGACGAAAATAACAGCATTGTTGTTCTTGCAGTTCTTAAATCTTTAGAGTTAAAAGGGCTGAAAAGCAACCAGTCATCAACCAGTAGATTAAAATGAGCAATCTCAGCAGGGCCAAGGACCGTTCTTTTTGCAAAACATACTGCTCCTGATCTAAATGCTCTTGCTACTACCTGGTGTTTAAACCTTTAAGCTCACAGAGTACAGCTTTCTTTCTTTCTTTCTTTCTTTCTTTCTTTCTTTCTTTCTTTCTTTCTTTCAGTTATATTAAATCACATCGTCTCTCACACTGATAGATGTCATGTCACCCTACAACACAAAATGGAAGACCAGAAGCTTCTTTGCTTTTAAGAAAACCTGCCTCGTGCTTAAAAGCATGGAGAAACCTCTTAAGAGGATCTTCACTGGATCTTTGAGAGATTTTTCTTCCATTTTACTAGATGACTACAAAATCAAAAGCTTCTAATGCTCATCTCCAGCTTGGACCCACTTTCCAAAATCCACTATCTTTTCACATCTCTGTTTTAAAAATGCTAGAGTAAAACCCTGATGATATGATCTGCTGGATGTTTGTGGAATTTTATGTTATTGTTTTAGTGGATTATGGGTAAAAACGAGAGTTTCCTCACAATGTGAATCTATTCACAACCACTGGCAGGGAGTGTTATCTCCTAGCCATCCACTTTGGAAATCAGCTGCAAACATCAGCTCTTAAAGCAATCTGGGAGAAAGTCTTTGAAGATAATCTTTTCTGATTCTGGTGATGACTTGTGTTTGTTTTGATAGTAGATTAGCGCTAATCTTAAAGCTTCTTCTGACCCAAGAAACTCTTATCATCTGAACTCTGCAGGGGCGCAAAGCAAAACAACAAACGAAACACCTATGGGGAGGTGGTTTTTAAAAGCATTAAAATGGGTGTGGGGTAGTCCTAGTTGGTATCAATGTATGTGTTGCATCATCTGAGAGGTGGAGAAAATACAGTACTGGTATCTTCAGCGCAGATAAAGTGGAACCAGTGTTCAACTTGAGTGAATTCTGGGGCTCAAATGGTGGGGGTGATATATATATTTTATTTGAAAGAGTTATGTTTGTTGTTCATCATCATCATCATCATCATCATCATCATCATCATCATCATCATCATCATCATCATCATCATCATCATTATTATTATTATTATTATTACTTTAAAAAGAACCCAAGGCAGCTTACATCATTAAAAGACAATATTTAGAGCTAAAAATAGCAAAGGAAGGACAGCAAAGATGGAGCCACCCTGGCCTCTTGTTCCAAAGTCTAGGATCAACAACAGGGAAGGCCCTGTCCCATGTTCCCCCA